TCTTTATTGTCATTGAATTGCCAGGTACCTAAGCAAATCCTAGAAACATTCAAATCTGTGCCTGGTATTGTAATTCTTGGTACAGCTGACATTGTTGTCTTTATACCTGAGTAACCTGTTACGACACTTATGTCATGTCAAATTGATTGAGATAGCGGCAAAGTGGACTGTCGGCTGGCGATTGGTTATTGAGGCTCTGGTAGATTATTCAATTGTATGTCGATGCAAACTTTTTTTTTGTTTAACTAACATTATGAAATGGTAATCAAGTTTAAATATAAAAATAAGAAGATGTGGTATGATTGCCAAATGAGACAACTCTCCACTATGCAGAGACCAAATGACATAGCATAGTTAAATTCTATTTTAAACAATTTTGTATTTTAGGTGTGTTGATTCTTGAATATTTATTGTTAGGTGCTACACTTAAATCTATTAGTTTCCATTTTGTTACAAGGTTTAAATACTTTGAAAATAGCAGTTTCTAAGAAGTTTGGAAGACTTAGTTCTAGTCTGTATTTAAAACGGTATCGCAGTGATTTTTCATAAGTATCCTATATCTTTTGATTGAACTGTTCTGCAATTCCTTAACTTACAAGAGCTTAATTATGACTTTAAAGACAAACACACAAATGCAACGATTTTGAAACGGAGATTAAAAACTGTAATATTTTCATTATACATAAAATGCCAGTCGAGTTTTGACTACAGATGACATCAAATTGGTTTTAAAAAAGGAAAAATTTCCATCAAAATCTTCAATGGTTGATATTTCGTGAATGTGTTGTTTTATGTTTCATCAACTGATACCCTTTCTCTCACTATTGGCTTTTGTTTTAAATGTTAAGCACGTTAAGGCAGATGCAACACAAGGTTTACCCGTTTATGAATCCATATAAACTCGAAACTCTCACGAACATTTTTAACCCCGCCACAATCTTTATGTACCATTTGGTGGGAAATTAAACATCCTTTTCTTCTTCTGTATCTAAATGTATCTCGAGTCAGGAGCCTTTGATTGATTGGTTGTCGTTGCTGTTTGTTTTTCAATAATTATTTTGTTACAAACCAGGCCTTTTGTTTTCTTGTTTGAGTTGTTTCACATTTTATCATGTTACAGCTGACTATACGGTGTTTGGCTCACTGTTGAAGGTCATACGGTGCTAAAAGTACGACACGTATTTGCCAGATTAATAAACTTATAAAACTATATTACACAAAACTTCTGTAACCTATTACTGTCCTTTTTATGACCCCGCCGTAGCGGAGGGGGCATTAAGTGTTACCATGTCCGTCCGTCTGTCCCGTCTGTCCTTCCCGAACGTCCCCAAAATAAGTCTCCGTTCTCTAACTTTAGTTTGCCCTAACCAAATATTATTAAACCTATACACAATGCATATTACCACAAAACACAGATCAAGTTAGAAATTAGTTGGCGTCACTTTTACCGTTCATGAGTTATGCCCCTTTATAAATGGAAAAAATTGCTAAAACTGTCGTTTCCGTTCTCTAACTTTAGTTTGCCTCAACCAAATGTTATGAAACTTATACACAATGCTTATTACCACAAAACACAGATCGAATTTGAAATTGGTTTGGCGTCACTTTTACCGTTCATGAGTTATGCCCCTTTATAAATAGAAAAATTGCTAAATCTGTCGTTTCCGTTCTCTTAACTTTTAATTAGTTTGCCTCAACCAAATGTTATGAACCTTATGCTTATAATCACACAACACTTATAGTTATTTAATCTTATAGTTCGGTGTGAGCCAAGGCTCCATGTTGAAGGTCGTACTTTGACCAATTATTGTTTAATTTTTTCACATTGTGACTTGGATGGAGAGTTGTCTAATTGGCAATCATACCACGTCTTCTTATTTCTATTGACGTCATTTTGTTCAGTCAAGTTCCATACCGACGAAGACTGAAAATACAGACAAAAATCATATATAACAGATTTCCGATTTGAAATGATGGTGCCATTTTTTACACGATTTAATTCATTTAATTTTTTTCAAATACGATTTTTAAAACTTAATTATTTTTTGATATTGCAGTTTATGCCGAAAATTACCATAAGACAGCAAAACAGATACTTTCTTTTTTCTCGCAGACCAGTAATTGACTCGAGGTCCGCAAATAAGCTCCTAAGTGTTTAGAAAACATCAAATGTGTGATATTTTAAATTATTTCTGGTGAAAATATGTATTGCACCAAGACATTAATTAACAGGTGTACTCGACGTGATTCGTTTTTCAAATCTTAAATATACGACACAAATTAGCATATCAATGATACCTGCGTCCTGTTTTTCGTATAAATGTTAGATTATAGTATAATACCTGTAAATTGGATTTATCCATACCTATGTTCATTATAGCAATCTGTAATCAAAGTTCTCTTATCTTGAAAACTATACCTGTTCATGATCAACTTCCTTTAAACGGATTGACAACTTTTCTACATCATTCAAATGGCAAAAATAAGACAAATTTTGAAAGAGTGGATTTGTTCTCTTTTTGCTTTAACGATACTTTTGAGGGATGAAAACTATTATTTGATTAGCTCGTATAATGTCTAATTTCATTCCACCGTTTAATACCTTCATGCGATATCATGATGAAGAACAAAGATAACCTTTTCATAAGCGAATTTGCATGTTGCTGTATTATTTTTGATGATGGATGGCTGTTTACTTTTTCTTTGTATTTCATTTTATTTTTTGGTTCTATGGTTATATCACCTCACCAGGGATTTGTATAGTAATACGCATCTTATTTCAATTAATAATACAGGCTATATAACCTGCAATGGCGGACCTAGAAATGTTCATAACTTGATAAGTGGGGGCCCACTGACTGCCTAAATCCGCCTCTGACCTGTCCATGAGATTCCAATCCTTCTTACTAAACAATCCTTGACATCATAATATATACTCGTTTCGGACTGAGATAGAGACATATTAAGATTTTCAATAGAAACAAAACAAAGATCCCTTTTCCCGACAAGCAACTCTAATTACAACCCTTCTCTATGAAAAATTTGTAAAATTTATTTGCCATTAATCTACATTAAAACAAGGAATTGTATATTTAAATGGAATGGAAACGCGGCTCGAGATCAATCGGGATACCCGCAGAGCACCCGCAGAGCTATAATATACAATTCCTTGATTAAAACATATTTTTTCCAATATTAATATAACCCTTTGAAAACAACACAATTACCCTGAGCAATTACCATTTTCTTGTGAAAAACTATGGAAAGCCTCAGCTGTCATATATTAGATATTTACAAAACGTTATGCTGAAGCTTAAAATGTAAAGTTAAGACAGCGTGATGTTGAATTGAGTCATCAAAATGCTAAATCTAAATTACAATATGCTAAGTTGAATTTGCACAATGTTGACTTGCAATGACAAGTGCTTTAGTCGTGATAGTATAATGATAAGTCACGATGTTGTGATGATATGCCAAACACACGTAACGTTGGGTTTAAAGTACATGATGTGAAGTTGACGTTGCATGATGTTAGCTTGCAGATGGATACTGCTCAGTCATACAATTCGATAGCTATGATAACAAATAAAATGAATAGCTAAAATGTATGGTGCTGACATGTTATTAATAAATGTTGAGCTGAGAATGTACGATGTTATATCATTGTGATATTACGATAGGTCTATCATGCAATCTGTTGATTTAAAACACCATGATGCACAGTTGAAAGTACATGATGTTAAGTTAAGATAACACGATGCTACACTACTATATTGAAACGAAAGGCTTACCATACAATTTGTTGACTTAAAACAACACGATGCAACGTGTTAAGCTAAGATGCTCACTTGAAACTACACGACGTACAGTTGAAATTTTGTAATGTTGAGTTACGATAGTACGATTTTATATCATTATAATGTCACAATAGGCTTATTATACAATTTGCTCATTTAAAACTACACAACGTACAGTTGAAAGTACGTGATGTTAAGTTAAGATGGCACGTTGTTATATCATTAGAATGTCACGATAGGCTTACCACACGATATGCTCGTTTAAAACTACACGACGTACAGTTGAAAGTACGTGATGTTCAGCTATGATAGCAATATCTTATGTCATAATAATATCACGGTAGGCTTGCCATACAATATGCTTATTTAAAACTACACGACGTACAGTTGAAAGTACGTGTTGTTCAGCTAAGACAGCACGATGTTATATCATTATAATGTCACGATAGGCTTATTATATAATTTGCTCATTTTAAATTACACCACGTACAGCTGAAAGTGCGTGATGTTAAGCTAAGATAGCACGTTTTCATATCATTAGAATGTCACGATAGGCTTACCACGCGATATGCTCATTTAAAACTACATGATTTTCAGTTGAAACTAGATGATGTTAAGCTAAGATAGCATGTTGTTATATCATTTGAATGTCACGATAGGCTTACCATACAATATGCTCATTTAAAACTACACAACGTACAGTTGAAAGTATGTGATGTTGAGCTATGATAGCACGATGTTATATCATAATAATATCCCGATAGGCTTGCCATACACTATACTCATTCAAAACTACACGACGTACAGTTGAAAGTACGTGTTGTTGAGCTAAGATAGCACGATGTTATATCATTATGACGTCACGAGAGGCTTATCATACAATGTGTTGACTTGAAACTACACGATGTAAATTTGAAGTAGTTTGGTCTTGACTTGAAACAGTAAAATGTTAAGTTATAAAAACAGAAGGTAAAGTCAAAATAAAACAATGATAGGATGACATATACTTGTGCAGAGTTGAAGATTTTTGGTGTTGACTTCGAATATAGTACAAATATTAGCTCGGTTTATGTTAAATTGAAAGACAATAATGATGCGTAAAACATTACAGAATTATGTGAATTGAAACTGCAATTCTATGGAAAAGAATAAGGGACAAATCCCCAGGATTTTTTCTTCTTCATTTGCAAGTTCGGAGGCAAAATGATATACAAAGAACGTTTTCCATAAATTCATAAAACAAATGAATTATCCATCGCTATGTATTACACTTGAATACAGTTTTGCCGTATATTTTACATGTTTTGTTTAGATTTTTTTTTTATGATTAAAAACCAGACTTTTTTTATGAACAATATTTAAGAAAATATTTATCTATGTTGTGTGTTAATATATACAACATTATATTGTGCTTATAAGACTTATGATTGTGAGGGTCAAATTTTACTCATATAAAATCACATCTATGAAAGAGTTATCGGAGAACTTGTATTTACCACTCCCGTATTCCCCCGAAATAAAACATAAAAATCTGGAGTCTTAATCTTAAAAAACAAAGATCAACTAATATGACAAATAATAAGGACTGAGAGGGTCAGAGCTATATGAGAATGTGACTCCCCCCCGGCCTTGTTAGAGGTATCTGAAAATTTGAATTTTCTTTTCCACGAAATCAAACAAAAAGAATTGATAGGTGGAAGAATCCTACTACATGGGGCCAACCCAAATATAAAGTATGGTAGATTCTGTTGTATACTTTCCGCTTATACATGAAGTCTATATGAAACCTAATGAAATTTGACCTAGAGCCTCCAGTCTAAATCGTCAACTTTAAAAAAAACAAAACAAAAAAAAACATCATTTACAGCAGTGCCAACCATTTTTCCAGCACCAAGTAAGATAGTGCCCAGGTTTATGTATATATCCACTCGGAGAATATTTCATTTTTTTTTAAATTGGTAAAGTCATTAATGGACAATGACTCCTATAACTTATAATAAGAAGCCAATAGACCAGTTTCACATAAGCGACTTATCAACCCTGCTCTCGAAATCAAATGCGCGTTTTAGTTTAAATCCCGCGATAATTAACGATATCATACGTGACAGGGGGCTAACTTACCCGAATAATTCGGTCGGTATATTCCGCTGATCTACGATTGCTTCATTAACGCAAGTAGGAGAGATCGATTACGGGGAGGGACTGAATCATTCGGGTTAGGGGCTATCCAATTTACCCTTATATTTGGCAGCACAATAATAAATACCGATAATACACATCTCTCTCTTGGTGTGTGCTGGAGGCAGGTAAACAGATGATACCAGTACACAGTATGTTTGTCACGGCGAACGTAGCTATTATGTATTGTACATATACAGGGATTTTAAACGTGTAGAAAGACATGCACATTAGATTTTTGTAACAAATGATGTAGTTTTTTTTTAATTTTTATTATACAGCTGTCATTACTTATATTGATTAACCAGCATGCGTTCATGTATACATTTACTTCCTCATAACATATTGTATTTCAACGCTCTAACATTTTGAGTGTCTCTAAGAACAGGTACTAGTAATTCAATTATATATTCTTTAGAACATGTATTTGGTTTTATAAATAGAAAATGTGGACATATCCTTCGGACGTAGTACTAGTAAAATCCTTGTTATGTAAACATTATCTATTTTCTTATTCTGATTAATAATGAATGAATTTACATTAAGATATCATTATCAGTAATTGAATATCCTGCTTTACCATAAAATAAGATCATAATTGCTGAATGACCCCCTACTGAATTATTAAAATATATCTAGTTGCATTAACCGTAATATCTCAGTGTAAATTATGTACATGTATCTTATACAGAAACAGGGTTTACATTTTTAACATCTGTATTACAAAATGCAGGAAATAATTGTGTACAAAAGTTAAATAAATTTTTCGCGCAGCAAAAAAAGAAAAAGAATGCGTAGCAACTGGGACATTAAATCGTGATTGACAGTATAATATTCCCAGGTAGCAACAGATGACGATGAATATTCAATCCGAAAAAATTCTTCTGTCTTCCGTCAGAATATCATATGGTCGTCCCCTTTTCAGCAACTGTATGTAGAAAAGGGTACGTTTTTATCAATTGTCACCTGGTGAGATTGTACAAGGTAAAACTAGGATTCCACATGGCTAAGGTGTTAATTGACTTCTTAATTGATCAGTGACCTAATATATGGATATGAAGTGACCCCCGCTTATTTTTTCTATGTTATTCTTCCCGCTAAGTGAACGACCTCAGCGGAAATCCAAGCATTTCTTCGTGACAATTAAAGGTACAACGTCAGGCGTCATATTAGATCGTCTGTTACTCTAAAACACAACAGTAGTCCGTTTAAAAATCTTTTAATGTGTCATTGTTAATAAAGTTGTCTCGTCAATATATATTTTGATTCAATTGTTGCTCGTGTACATATAAACGCAAACACTTAATCAGGTGATTATTTTTCCAGGTCTGCATGGTCACTGCTTACATCAACCGTAAGCCCCCAGTCGATGAATTCTCGGGAATTATCGCGTGATTTCACAGTTTGGCTAATTAGGTTAGACATGCGCAGTTAAATGTGAAACTGGTGTATTATTATGATTTCCGTCACTTATTTTCTTGTCCATAGTGATTTTCTTGGTTCTTTGCAGCTTCTCTCTATCTATATGTGTTTTCAAAGAAAAAGAAAAAAATCAAAAATCTGTTAAAATTGTTAAAGTCCATGAATTATTTTGGTCTTGCTTTGATTAATTTGTAGATATGTTTTTTTTTTATGTCAACAGTTTCTCTCTCTCTCTCTTATAGTTTTCATGAGTGTGGTCTAAATTAAAATCGGTACATTTTTTTTAATTATTTGCCAAAATGTAGTTTATTCTTTTTTGAAAAAACATAATAAAAAGTTTGGGCCACAGAGCATTTTGCAAGCTATACAGGTTATGCAGTATTGTCAGATTTTTTATAACTATACATGGAAAACTCAATGTTAGAAAAAAACAATAAAAATTGGGATCACGAGACTCGTTTTCTGTCTACAAAACAAAATAGATAAAGTCCCTACACATTTCATCATTAAAGACGAAATATGCCAAAGGGATTTCAAACTCATAAGTCGAAAACAGACTGACAATGCCATGGCAAAAAATTAAAAAAAATTAAAAAACGACAAAAGATAATGTTATCCGAGTTATCTCCCCTATATGGAAAAGTTGAAAAACATATGCAAAAAACGTTCTGTATTCAAAAACAAATAATCGTTTTAATCAGATAAATCATATAATTTTCTTCATCAAAATGAAAAGTACTACTGTAACATATGAATGACATTCCTCTCTCAAAATGTGTATATTTTTTTAGATCTAGACCGATTGTGTTGTGCTATATGAGAATCTAAGGGAGCTACCATGTGATTTTTAGGGGGGAGGGGAGGGCTAGGATGACAAATTTTGTCCTGCCTTTTTTTTTAGTTGTTATCTCTGTCCTGCCTTTTTATTTTTCACTCTATTCGGTCCTGCATTTTTTATTATTAGTTTATTCTGATTTTTTTTACATACATTGTCATCCTGCCTTTTTTTTGCCAAGTTTTCCTGTATTTTTTTAACTCAAAACTCCTGTCCTGCTTTTTTTTTAAATTTCATCCTAGCCCCCTAATAAAAATCAAATGGTAGCTCCCTAAGATTGCGGAAGACACCCGATCTACCCTAAGGGCAATATATCTAATGAGGAAGAAATTTACAATTTCGGTCACGTCGAGTTACTTGTAGATCTCCTTTTGTTGAAAAGGGTTTCTGTTTTCATTTATCTATCTATTATACTGTTCAGGGGGAGGGGAGAATCGAAAAAAAAATACACAAAAATGGACAAAAAGAAGGCGAAAGATACAAAAGGGATAATAAAACTATTAACCAAACTGACAATGTCATGACAAAAACTCATCTGCCGAAATAAACGAGAGAAAAAAAATAAAAAGCCAAACAACAGTATATTAAGCGCAACATATAGAAAATCAAAAACTGAGCAACACGAAACCCTAAAAAAAAGGGGTGATCTCAGGTGCTCCAGAAGGGTAAGCAGATCATGTTTCATATGTGGCACCCGTCACTTGGCGATTCTGCAAATAAAGAAGGAATGTGTTATAATTTTCGAGGAGCTCCCAAAAAACATGAATTACAGGGTGTCAAATCGATGAACGTGCTTAAAGTAGGCTCCTTTTCATAAAAAAGAATTGATGAAAATGTTTTAGTATTTAGTGTACAATGGCAATTATTACATGCATATTAGGACGAGAATATGTAAGTGTGATATGAATATGAATAAATCTTGGCTCTGTACAAGACATATTTTGCTTGCTAAGCTGAATTTTTAACAAACTAGTTGACAAAACGTCTCTGACAATCTATGGAAATCCAAATAGTATCGGTTTTGATTAAGTCCAGATTTTTTGGTTTTATTTCGGGGAAAAGGGTTGTGTTTTACGTACAGTGGCAAATATTACATGCATATCAGGACGAGAACATGTAAGTGTGATGTGAATATGAATAAACCCTGCTTTGTTACAAGACAATATACTTTACTTGCCTAGCCGAATTTTCAACGAACTAGTCGACATTCTATGGAAATCGTAATCGCATCGCTTTTGATTAAGTCCAGATTCTTTTGTTTTATTTCGTGGAAAAGAAAATTCAAATTTTCAGATACCTCTAACAAGATCGGGGGGGGGGGGGGGGGTCACATTCTGAAATAGCTCTGACCCTCTCAGTCCTACGCTAAGCGTAAGATATTTGTCATATCAGTTGATCTTTGTTTTTAAAGATTAAGACTCCAGATTCTTATGTTCTATTTCGGGGAAAACGGGAGTGGTAAATACAAATTCTCCGATAACTCTTACATAGATGTGATTTTATATAGGTAAAATTTGACTCTCACAGTCATAAGTCTTATAAGCACAATATTATGTTGTATATATTAACACACAACATAGATAAATATTTTCTTAAATATTGTTCATAAAAAAATCTGGTTTTTAATCATAAAAAAAAACATCCAAACAAAACATGTAAAATATACGGCAAAACTTTATTCAAGTGTAATATATAGCGATGGGTAATTCTTTTGCTTTATGAATTTATGGAAAACTTTCTTTGTATATAATTTTGCCTCCGGAGTTAAATTTCATTAATATTCATCAACTTGCAAATGAAGAAGAAAAAATCCTGGGGATTTGTCCCTTATTCTTTTCCATAGAATTGCAGTTTCAATTCACATAATTCTGTAATGTTTTACGCATCATTATTGTCTTTCAATTTAACATAAAACGATCTAATATTTGTACTATATTCGAAGTCAACACCAAAAATCTTCAACTCTGCACAAGTATATGTCATCCTATCATTGTTTTATTTTGACTTTACCTTCTGTTTTTATAACTTAACATTTTACTGTTTCAAGTCAAGACCAAACTACTTCAAATTTACATCGTGTAGTTTCAAGTCAACACATTGTATGATAAGCCTCTCGTGACGTCATAATGATATAACATCGTGCTATCTTAGCTCAACAACACGTACTTTCAACTGTACGTCGTGTAGTTTTGAATGAGCATAGTGTATGGCAAGCCTATCGGGATATTATTATGATATAACATCGTGCTATCATAGCTCAACATCACATACTTTCAACTGTACGTTGTGTAGTTTTAAATGAACATATTGTATGGTAAGCCTATCGTGACATTCAAATGATATAACAACATGCTATCTTAGCTTAACATCATCTAGTTTCAACTGAAAATCATGTAGTGTTAAATGAGCATATCGTGTGGTAAGCCTATCGTGACATTCTAATGATATAACAACGTGCTATCTTAGCTTAACATCACGCACTTTCAGCTGTACGTGGTGTAATTTTAAATGAGCAAATTGTATAATAAGCCTATCGTGACATTATAATGATATAACATCGTGCTGTCTTAGCTGAACAACACGTACTTTCAACTGTACGTCGTGTAGTTTTAAATAAGCATATTGTATGGCAAGCCTACCGTGATATTATAATGACATAAGATATTGCTATCATAGCTCAACATCACGCACTTTCAACTGTACGTCGTGTAGTTTTAAACGAGCATATCGTGTGGTAAGCCTATCGTGACATTCTAATGATATAACAACGTGCCATCTTAGCTTAACATCACGTACTTTCAACTGTACGTTGTGTAGTTCTAAATGAGCAAATTGTATAATAAGTCTATTGTGGCATTATAATGATATAACATCGTACTATCGTAGCTTAACATTACAAAATTTCAACTGTACGTCGTGTAGTTTCAAATGAGCATCTTAGCTTAACACGTTGCATCGTGTTGTTTTAAGTCAACAAATTGTATGGTAAGCCTTTCGTTTCAATATAGTGTTGTAGCATCGTGTTATCTTAACTTAACATCATGTACTTTCAACTGTGCATCATGGTGTTTTAAATCAACAGATGGCATGATAGACCTATCGTAATATCACAATGATATAACATCGTACAT